GGATGCTAGGTATGCTGATAAGAGCAGACACATCTAGCACCGTCGGGGAGGCTCCATCTAGTGGTGGGGAGCAGCACCTGCTGTCTAGAGCTACTGCCTGGTCTTTGTTTGTTCAGGGGTTTGATTGGCCATTATTGCCCACCTGCTTTAAAAACCACAAAATAGCTGAACCAGAGTTTGAACCAGAGGTTTAGCTGGTGTTTGAACCAGAGATTAGACCTAGAGTTTTTGAACCAGAGTTTGAACCAGAGGTTTAGCCAGTGTTCGAACCAGAGATTAGACCGATAATTTTTGAACCGGAGTTCGAACCGGAGTTCGAACCAGAGTTTAAATCGAGAGTTTGAGCCGGAGTTCGGACCCGGTGTCTAAATCGAGACCGGAGTTCGAACCAGAGTTCGAACCAGAGTTCGAACCAGAATTTGAATCGAGAGTTGAACCGAAGTTTGGAACCAACCTTTGAACCAGCCTTTGGACCAGAGAGTTTGAACAGGAGTTGAGTCTGAATCAGAGTTCGAACCTGGGCGTCAACCACGGTTAAACCGGAGTTTGAACCAGCGTTTGAACCACAGCGGAGTTTCAACAAGGGTTTGAACCGAGATTGAACCGAGATTGAACCAGACTTTTACCGACAGTACGCTTGAGTTTGGAATCTGGACCATTCAGCAACGAGGTTCATCCACAGTTAGCGGGAGGCTCGAGCAGCTGAGTTTGCAGGGGTGTACTGATCCTGTCGGAGGCATTCATCATGGCCGGACTTCTGAGACGCGTGTACAAAAGTACTTTAGATCAGGCAGCTGACGCTTTTAGTCAGCTCCAAAGTCGTATGTGCCATGGCCATTTCTCTGTACAGCTTTGCAGGTCCGTAGGACCGTAGCTTCATTTACGGGTAATTTTTTTCCGACCTAAACAACGTTTGCCGGTGCCCGAGAAGAAGATGGGTTGTTGGAGTCAACAGCTGCGGCGGAAAGCGAGAGACGGCTTCCAAGTTGTGTCCATAACTGCGACGAAGGCGAATGTGACGTGGCTAGTTCTCTACAGCTGTGGGTGTTTAGGAGTTTCGTCAACTGTCATATGTACGGTTACTTCTTGGCCCAAGATGCGTCCGACGATCCGAAGGCCAGGCTGTTCGAGTCAATAGCTGTCGTAGGAAGCTAGCAAGAGAGCCTGGCTTTTCGATAGTCAGACACACACCAACACATAATAGAATGGCTATTATGGCTTTGGTATCCAGCTCGATTACCATGGATTTGGTTTCGAAGTGTTTCCTTCTCATGGATGGTTATCGAGTCGTAACTTCGTGAGAGACCTGGATCAAATTTCAAAGTCTGTTCCGAAGCAGCTTACCCGAAGGACGAGCTGTTCGACTCCATAGCCGTTGTAGAAAGCCGGAGATGAGCTGGTTCGAACTTCAAAGGCTCTTCTATAGCTGTTAGCTAAAGGCGATTTGATTGCGGCAAAAAGACTATGTCCTACGGTCAGTCAGAGTTCGATGCGACAACACAGTGGAGAGACAGCTGGAGCCTTAAGTTAGCAGCCATTCACATCTCTGAGATGTTTTGTCCGTCAGTCTGTAACCACTTGCCACCAGCCTCTGGGTGAGCTCCACTGTTCGGAGTCTGTCTATTATTGACGACCAGCTCAGTGCCAGACTCTGTACCAGACTCTCTGGACCATGGACTGGACCAGACTCTCTGGACCATGCTCTGTACCAGCCTCTCTGGACCATACTCTGTACCAGCTTGTCTGGACCATACTCTTTACCAGCTTGTCTGGACCATACACTGTACCAAACTCTGGACCATGCGCTATGCCAGGGCGTCTGAACCATCCTCTGGACCAGCCTCTCTGGATCATTCTCTGCACCAGCTTGTCTCGACCATACTCTGTACCAGACTCTCTGCAACATGCTCTGTACCAGCCGCTCCGGACCATACTCTTTACCAGCTTGTCTGGACCATACTCTGTACCAAACTCTGGAGCATGCGCTATGCTAGGGCCTCTGGATCATCCTCTGTACCAGCCCCTCTGGATCAATCTCTGCACCAGCTTGTCTCGATCATACTCTGTACCAGACTCTCTGCAACATGCTCTGCTCCGTACCAGCCTCTCTGGACCATACTCTGTACCAGCTTGTCTGGACCATACTCTTTACCAGACTCGGAACCACGCTCCATACCAACGTCTCTGGATCATCCTCTGTACCAGCCTCTCTGGAACATACTCTTCACCAGTTTGTCTGGACTCTGCACCTTACTCTGTACCAGACTCTCTGTACCAGACTCTCTGTACCATGCTCTCTGCACCATGATCTGCACCAGACTCTGTACCAGGCTCTCTGTACCGGCTTGTTGGGGACCATACTCTGTACCAGACTACCAGACTCTCTGGACCATACTTTGTTCCAGACTGGTCTATATGCACTGGACCGGACTCTGACGAGACTAAGGATCGGACCAGGTGCAGATGGACCTGGTTGTCCATGGAGTACCCTGGATCTTACCCTGGACCAAACACAGATTCAGGCAGGGGACCACCAGGTGCAAATGCACCTGGTCTTCTGGTGGAGCCTGGATCATACCCTGGAACAGAGTATATGGATCATCCTCTGCGCCTGCAGGCCCCGTTCGCGCCGGCTGCAAACGATAGGGGTTCTTAGGCCACAGGCTGACCAGCTGACCAGCCACTGCAAGGTCTATACGTGCCTGTCAGATGCTCTGCATGTGGTCATGATGTGAGGCGCTTGCAGGTCACCCGGTTCATGCTGTACATATGGTTGGAGACTGTCTCTTGGTCCAAACTGCTTACTGCCCAGCTTTGCTCTCTCTCTCTCTCTCTCTCTCTCTCTCTCTCTCTCTCTCTCTCTCTCGGTCTCTCTCTCTCTCTCTCCCGCGGTCCGGTGGTGTTTGGCTACGGCTGTTTGCCAGCAGATTCTGCGATGGCAGTCAATAGGTTGACTATTTGACTATGTCTTTTTATGTTGGCCAGCAGGTTCAGCTATGGAAGTCAATTGTTTGGCTATTCATCTATTTGGCTATGGTGGTTTGCCAACACTCTCTGCTACGACAGTCAATTGTTCGGCTATTCAGCTACTTGGCTATTCTGTTCCAAGCTCTGTGCCAGGTATCTGCCTGCCATCGAAGTTATGGCTCCTGTTCGTCTATTTGTCTATCCGTCTATTTGTCTATTCGTCTATTCTTCTATTCTTCTATTCGTCTGTTTGGCTTTTCACCCGTCGGTTGTGCTGCAGCCATTCGCCAACCAGCGGCTGTGCAGCAGCGGCTTGTGCTGCATCGCTTTGCCAGCCAGCTAAGATATGGCTATTTGGCTATTCGACTCTTGGACTGCTCACATGCGGGGCTTTGTTTCCGTGTATAAGGCTATCGGCCTACTCTGTCACCAGTTTCTGCTGGGGGTTCCATTGCACTTCTGTGCTGATGTGGTTGTGCTGTCATGCCATGTGCTATTCCATCATGGCTATTCTTCTCTGGCTGTCGTGCCGTACTTATTGGCCAGCAGCTGTCTACTCTGCTCTTATTTTTCCTTAGCAACTATTGCTGCTGGCTATTCTTCCTTGCCTATTCTGCCCTTGGCTTTTCCTCAGCAGCTATTGGTCAGCAGCTGGCAATTCTTCCATGCCTATTCTGCCCTTGGCTTTTCCTCAGCTGCTTTTGGTCAGCAGCTGGCTATTCTGCTCTGACTTTACCTCCGCAACTGTTGGCCAGCAGTCGGCCATTCTGCTCTCGACTTCACGTCGGCAGCTGTTGGACAGCAGCCGGCTATTCTGCCATACCTATTCTGCTCTTGGCTTGTCGTCAGCGACTATTGGCCAGCAGCCGGCTATTCTGCCATGTCATCGCTTTTCTGGCATTTTCATTGTGTGATTCTGAGAATTTCTGACGGCAATAGCCGATGAACCAATGTCTAAGAGGCTGTCCATCACTATCTAGCAATAGGCACCAGTGTGTCATGCCCTGACATGTCCAAAGAGCCTATTGGCTCTGTGGCTATTGGCTCTGTGGTGACTATTGGTTCTGTGGGTATTGACTCTGCGGCTATTGGGTCTGGACTCTGTAGCTATTTACATATCTGACGATGGGTGAGTCGCAAGTCGTGGCGTGCTGTGTCTGGGCGGCAGGTGGCAGTATCTGGAATCGGGATCTGAACTTGGCCACTGCTTTTTGGCACCTGAGCCTGACGGCCTGTGTTGGCCAGTGCTTTTTGGCGCCTGAGCCTGATGGCCTGTGTCTTATGTTATAGCAGGAAAGCGGCAGGAGGTACGAACCTGGGCCGGGGTCCCCCTTGTCTCTAGTTATTAATTGGTCGCATTTTAAAATTTTTAATTATTTTTTTTATTGAGGAAAGTAATTGGCATATTACTAACGATAGCTGCGTATTCTGTAGTGCACTGCAGATGGACACATTCCAGCGGCCCCCAGCGAGATGGGCATGAATGCCAGCCACCTTTGCGTGTGCATCGCATCCAGCTATATAGCTTCCAGTGCTTTCCACCTTTGTCGGCATGTTGGTGATTTGCTGGGCAGATTTGTTGTGTGGAACCGGAAATTCATTTTGTGAGACTGAGCTCGCATTTCGCTTCTTCGGCTCTGAGAAGAAAGAATAACACCCTCGTACTCGACTACTACTCGTGGCTTTGCGGCGGGATCGATCCTTATCGATTGCGATTCAAGCGGTGGTCAGGCTTCAGAAGAAGG